GAATTTTATGGTTTGTCCATTTGGCATCTCTATGCCAAATTATTATTATTATTATTATTATTATTATTATTATTATTATTATTATTATTATTATTGGAGGAAAGATGGTTAAGAGAGGACATAATAGCCAACCATTTTTAAATATTGGAAATGACACCATATTGAAGTTGGAACAATTTTGTTTGCTGCTGCTCCAGAGATGACATGAAGCAATGGATTCAAACTGCAGGAAATTTCACCTGAATATTAAGAAAAATGACAGTAAGAGCTATTCCACAGTGGAAGGCAGTTCCTGGGAATGTAGTGGTATCTTCTTTTTTGAAGGTTTTTAAATAGAGTCGGGACGACTATCTGTTGGGAGTGTCTTATTGTGTCTTCCTGCATTGTAGGATGGGTTTGGGCTGGATGGCCATTGAGGCTTCTTTCTACTTTATGATGCTATGATATGTATCTTGCCTTTTCTCAAAACTGGGACTCAATGCAGCTTACACATAAAACATACACAAAAAGTCAACATTAAACAAAATTAAACTATTAACAGTCCTCCTCTGGTCTCTTTGTCTTATGCCTGTTATAAAAGGCTGTGTTTTTTAATTTAATTTTAGTTGTTAAGTTATAATTTGTGTTTATATGTTGGGTTGTTTACATTTTGTTAGTATGGATGTATTGTTGTATTCGGGAATTGAATGTTTGCCTTTTATGTTTGGAATCTGCCGATTCCCTTTGGGGAGATAAAGCGGAATACAAATAAATTATCATCATTATTATTATTATTATTATTATTATTATTATTATTATTATTTTACTGACACAAAACCACATTATGTCACAGCAAACGAGATCTCTATGCTGGATTTCATATCACAAAATCACAAGTCGAACACTTCCCAAGCATCTAAGACTATGTGATGTATTTTTGAAATTATGCGTGCAGATCCAAGTATATTATTATTATTATTATTATTATTATTATTATTATTATTATTAGAGGAGCAATGGAAGGACAAGGATCTATCCTGCACATGATATCTCTCACTTCTCCAGGGATCCTGCTCACACTCTAAGGCTATAAAAGTTAAAAATTATCCATTAACACTGGACAAGCAAGAACAAGGTGATATCTAGAAGAACAGTATTAATTATAGCACCCAAGCTGCAAATTAGCTGCAAATTCCTCTGAAATCTGATACCCAAAAAGCAATTAGATCTTGAAGGCTAAGCTAAGTAGTGTCAACCCTGGTCATTACCTGGATGGGAGACCACTAACAAGTACTAGGTACTGTCGGATATATTTCAGAGGAAACTGGAAAAACTATCTCTGAATACTCCTTGCCTAAGAAAACCCTTAAAAGTAATGGATTTTAAGTGCGGCTGTTTATTATGGCAGCCTTACACTTTGAGTAACAGTACTTGAATTGTATATTTGATTTAGTTGTTTTCAGATGTCATTATTCTTTGTTGTAGTATTTTATGATTTAACTGTGCACATCACTTGAAATGTGGGCCATTCTCCCTCAGATCAATCAAGTGTGGTCATGGAAACAGCATGATTTGAAGCTGAAACTCCAGACTCAGTGTTGCTTGGTGAAAGTTTGTGGTGTAATACAATTCAGACCCACACCTTCCTCATTTTGATTTACTTGCACTGGTTTCAGAGGCACTTTACGATGGTGTGCCTGCTTTGAAATATGGAACAAGCCCATGGATGAGAGGAATCTCCAGCAACCCTATTTGCCTCCAAGGCAGGATTTTAATTAGTTCATTTTAATTGACTGTCCAATGTGGGAACTAGCTGCCTGAAGCTAAACAGAGAGACAAAGGCAAAAGCAGAAATATCACATTGGCCCTGTTCATGGGAAATACTCAGAATTTCAGAAGAGATTGGAATTTTGTTCTCTGGAACCCCCATTCAAGATTGGTTCAAGATTGGGAAAGGCATACGGCAGGGTTGTATACTCTCACCCAACCTATTCCACTTGTATGCAGAAGACATCATGCGATGTGCGTGGCTTGACGAATGCAAAGCTGGAGTTAAAATCGCTGGAAGAAACATTAACAACCTTAGATATGCAGATGCTGGATGGGGTTATACTCCCCTTGAAATCACAGGTCCGCAGTCTGGGTGTCCTCCTGGACTCATCACTGACGCTTGAATCTCAGGTGTTGGCAGTGGCCGGGAGGGCCTTTGCACAATTAAGATTGCACAATTAAGACTCATGCGCCAGCTGCGACTGTACCTCGTGAAGGCGGATCTAGCCAGGGTGGTCCATGCCTTAGTCACCTCCAGATTGGACTACTGTAATGCGCTCTACGTGGGGCTGCCCTTGAAAACAGCCCGGAAATGCCAATTGGTACAACAGGCGGTGGCCAGGTTACTAACTGGTGCGACTTACAGGGAGCGGTCAACTCCCCTGTTTAAGGAGCTCCACTGGCTGCCGTTCATTTTCCAGTCCCAATTCAAGGTGCAGGTTCTTACCTACAAAGCCCTGAACAGTTTGGGACCCGCCTACCTGCGTGACTGCATCTCTGTATATGAACCCACACAATCTCTACAATCATCTGGAGAGGCCCTTCTCATGCTCCTGCCTTTTTCACAGGCGCGATTGGTGGGGACAAGGGAGAGGGCCTTCTAGGTGGTGTCCCCTCGACTCTGGAACTCACTTTCCAGAGACATCAGACATGCCCCAACTCTGGCAGTCTTTAGGAGGAGCTTGAAAACGTGGTTGTTCCAGTGTGCCTTCCCAGAATAAGGAAAACTCTCAGCATTATGTCCTCAAAATGCACTTTACTACTGCCTTAGGATTGACTGCATTCCCTCATTCTCTCTAAAAATCCTATCCCAATTATATCCTACCTGGTTCACATCAGCACTATTTTTAAATTTTAATCTATCACATTTGGCCTGGCCTTTGGTTTTAAATGTTTATATGTTACTGTTGATTGCTTATTGTCTATTTTGTTTATGTGATTATGATTTATATTGCATTGTTTGTTTATTGATGTTTTATTTTATTGATGTTCTGTTTATTGATGTATTGCGGGCATGGCCTCATGCAAGCCGCACCGAGTCCCCTGGGGAGATAGTAGTGGGGTACAAATAAAGTGTTATTATATACCACTTTGATGGCCAAAAGTGAGAAGGAACTGAGGAGTCTTCTAACCAAGGTGAAAGAAGAAAGTGCAAAAGTTGGGTTGCAGTTAAACATTAAAAAAAACCAAGATTATTTATTATTATTTATTTATTAACTTTATTTGTACCCTGCTACCATCTCCCCAAGCGTCTTGGTATGGCTTACATGAGGCCGAGCCCAAACACAACAATACAAACAATAAAACAACAATAAAGCAATTAAAAAGCATAGACAATAAGATAAACAACAACCAGACTGATGGATAACTGGCAAATAGAGGGAGAAAACATGCAGACAGTGACAGACTTTGTATTTCTAGGTGCAACAATGACTGCAGACTGCAGCCAGGAAATCAGAAGATGTTTCCTTCTTGGGAGGAGAGCAATGACTATTCTCGATAACATCGTGAAGAGTAGAGACATCACACTGGCCATGAAGATCCACACAGTCAAAGCAATGGTATTCCCCATAGTCACTTACGGATGTGAGAGATGGACCTTAGGGAAGGCTGAGTGAAGGAAGATCGATGCTTTTGAACTGTGGTGTTGGAGGAAAGTTCTGAGAGTGCCTTGGACTGCGAGAAGATCCAACCCGTTCATACTCCAGGAAATAATGTCCGACTGGTCATTGGAGGATATTAGAGGCAAAGATGAAGTAATTTGGCCACATCATGAGTCTACCGTGTACCATGCAGCTGTGGACAAGTCTACATACGCAGCGCACAAACACGAATCAAGGAACATGAAAGGCATTGCAGACTACTTCAACCAGAGAAGTCAGCCATAGCAGAGCACCTGATGAACCAACCTGGACACAGCATATTATTTGAGAACACAGAAATGCTGGACCACACCAACAACCACCATGTCAGACTACACAGAGAAGCCATTGAAACCCACAAGCATGTGGACAATTTCAACAGAAAGGAAGAAACAATGAAAACGAACGAAGTCTGGCTACCAGTATTAAAAAATCTCTAAAATTGCAACAGCACAACAACAGAGAGGAAGCAGGCAGGGGCATATAATCACCTCTCAACAAAAATTTGCTCCAGGCACAGTCAGCCCATTGTATGCTAATCAAGGTGGTCAGTTGGAACATTCACACCTAGCTCCAGCAGACAAGAGTCCTTTGTCCCACCCTGGTCATTCCACAGATATATAAACCCTTTTTCCTAGTTCCAACAGACCTCACTACCTCTGAGGATGCTTGCCATAGATGCAGGCAAAACGTCGGGAGAAAATGCCTCTAGAACATGGCCATATAGCCCGAAAAAACCTACAACAACCCAGATGTGAAGCCTTCAGGGAAAACAATGATGCTGGGGAAAAGGAAGGAAAAGGAAGAGGGGCCGACCAAGGGCAAGATGGATGGATGGTATCCTTGAAGTGACTGGACTGACCTTGAAGGAGCTGGGGGTGGTGACGGCCGACAGGGAGCTCTGGCGTGGGCTGGTCCATGAGGTCAAGAAGAGTTGGAAGCGACTGAACGAATGAACAACAATGAAAAGTCCTGTACGCCAAGTTTGGTCTAGATCCATCAAGTCACGGAGGAGCCTTTGTGGGACAAATATACACCCTGAGTAATGAAGAGTTCTGGCTTGGAGCTGCTGCTTGTTGTGCCGATGGCAGTGCAAGCGGTGGCAAGGCATCATGCCTTTGGCTGCCCACCGGCAGGTGCCCTCCCCTTCGCCCTCGGAGGCGGGCTCTCCTCGCCCTCAGCCACGTGCTGTTTGTTTGTTTGCCCAGATATCCAGGCGGAGGGAGGAGAGGAAGAGGAGGAGAGGAAAAGCCCCTTCAGGCCCAGCCCTGGAGGGAGGGAGGGAGGGAGGGACGGAGGGAGGAAGCCAGGGAGGGAGGGAGAGGGGGGGGAGGCTCCTTGCTTTCGGCGCTCCTTCCCTTCCCTTGGAGGCAGGGCAATATTCAGGCTTTCCCAAACGGCCGCCCTCCTCCTCCTCCTCCTCCTCGTTCTCGTCTTTGCGCTTGGAACCGGAGGAAGCGCAGCTGGGGCGGAGTTGCCGCTCCTGAAGCCAAAGCCGGGAGGGAAAGAGAGCAAGCCAGCGAGCGAGCGAGGCGGGAGAGGACGGACTCCAGGAGGTTCCCTACAATATAAGGAGCGAGGAGCGCCTTCGGGAGCCTGGAGACAAACCGTGAGTCCCGTCTGCTCTTCTTGGCGGAGGGGCTGCCTTTGGAAGGGATGCGTGTCGGAAGCCTTCTTCTCGGCCCGCCTTTCTCTCCCTCTCTGCCCTCCCCTCGCTCATTTAGGCAGAAACCGACCAACTTTGGGGAAACAAAAGGCGAAAGCGCAACCAGCTCAAGCGAAGGAATGTGGATTGATTCTCCTTCACCTTCCCTTTTGCCTTGCTTCTTTATACTTGGAAGCTTAAGCAGCGGGAGAGAGACAGAGACAGGAGAAAGCTTCCATCCTTCCTTCTTTTCCTGTTCCTTCCTTCTCCTTCCTTCCTTTCCCTTCTCCTCCTGCCTTCCTTCCTTCTCATCCCTCCCGAAGGAGGAGAAGGAGAAGGGGAAGAAGAAGAAGAAAGGGAGGAGAGGAAGGAGGAGGAGAAAAAAAAGAAAGGAAGGAGGAGAAGGAAGAAGAAAGAAGAAGGAAGGAAGGGGAAGGAAGGAAAAGGAAGGAAGAGAAGAAGGAAGGAGGAGGAGAAGGAAGAAAAGGAGAAGAGGGGAGAAAGGAAGGAAGGAGAAGAAGGAAGGAAGGAGGAGAAGAAGGAAGGAAGGAGGAGGAGAAGGAGGCCTCTCCTTCCTTCTACTTCTCTGTCCTTCCTTCTCCTTCATCCTTCTGCTTTTCCTTCCATCCCCTTCCTTCTGCTTCTCCTCCCTCCCTCCTCCTTCACTGCCCTTTCTTCTCCTTCTTCCTTCCTTCTGCTTCTCCATCCTTCCTTCTCATTCCCCTTCCTTCTAATTCTCCTTCCTTCCCCTTCCTACTTCTCTTTTCCTTCCTCCCTCTCCACCTCCTCCTTCTTCCTTCCTTCTGCTTTTCCCTCCCTCCTTCCTTCTCATTCATTCTTTCATCCTCCTCCTCATTCATTCCTTCCTTCTCCTCCTTCTGCTTCTTCCTTCTTTCTGCTTCTCCTTCCTTCCCCTTCCTTCCCTCTGCTTCTCCTTTTTCCTTCCTTCTCATTCCTCCCTTCCTTCTTCTCCTTCTCTTTCCTTCCTTCAGCAAAGCGGACAGGGAGCCCTTCTAGGCGGGAAAGTGGACTAAACAGGGCACGAAAGAGGGAAAAGATGGAGAAAGGACACCCCTTCCCCTTTCTTTCCTTTGGAAGAGAGGGATTGTCCTCCTCTCTTCGGGCTGGGTGCATCACCCGACAGGGATGTTTTCTTCCATCCTTCCTTCCATTCTTTCTTGGAGAGGGTTTCCCTTCTCACTGGGCGCCCCCTCCCACCCTTCCTCCCCCTGTGGGGCGGGGCCACGCCTCTCCTGCCCTCTGATTGGCCGCGGCTTCTACCTGGCGGTCTTTGTTGTCTGGAGCCGCCTTTGTTCTCCTTCCAGAGGTGTTGGGGCGCCGGGAAGGGAGGTGGGAGGGGGAAACCCTAGGGCCACCCAACCCGACCCCCCTTTGGCCACGCAGGGATACAAGCCCGAGTTCTCTGGATGGATGGCCACCCAACCGCCTTCTGCTTTAACAACCTCTGGAGATGCCATCACACTCCCATGCTCTTACCATCAGGAAGTTCTTCCTAATGTTTACATGGGAGCTCTTGTCCAGTAGTTTGAATTCATTGCCCTGAGTGTTGAGTATCTACTCACATCCATTATTCCAGGGTGGGCAAACTTTGGCCTCCTTCTAGGCCAGTGGTTCTCAACCTTCCTAATGCTGCGGCCCCTTAATACAGTTCCACATGTTGTGGTGACCCCCAACCATAAAATTATTTTCGTTGCTACTGTAATTTTGCTACCACTATGAATCGTAATGTAAACATCTGATATGCAGGATATATTTTGATTCACTGGACCAAATTTGGCACAAATACCAATATGCCCTAATTTGAATACTTATGGGGTTGAGATGGGGGGATTGATTTTGTCATTTGGGAGTTGTACTTGCTGGGATTTATAGTTCACCGACAAAGAGCATTCTGAACATCACCAATGATGGAATTGAACCAAACTTGGCACACAGAACTCCCATGACCAAGAGAAAATACTGGAAAGTTTTGGTGGGTATTGACCATGAGTTTTGGAGTTGTAGTTCACCTACATCCAGAGAGCACTGTAGGACTCAAACAATGATGGATCTGGACCAAACTTGGCACGAATACTCAATATGCCCAAATGTGAACACTGGTAGTGTTTGGGGAAAATAGACCTTGACATTTAGGAGTTGTAGTTTCTGGGATTTATAGTTCACCTACAATCAAAGAGCATTCTGAACCCTACCAATGATAGAATTGGGCCAAACATCCCACAAAGAAACCTCATGTCCAACAGAAAGTACTGTTTTCTGATGGTCTTTGGCGACCCCCTCTGACACCCGCTCATGACCCCCCCAGGGGTCCCAACCCCCAGGTTGAGAAACACTGTTCTAGGTGTTTTGGATTTCAACTCCCACCATTCCTAACAGCCTCAGGCCCTTTCCTTTTGACCCTCACCCACCCGCTTAAGCGGCTGAGGGAAAAGGAAGGGCCTGAGGCTGTTAGGAATGGTGGGAGTTGAAGTCCAAAACACCTAGAAGGAGAGCCAAAGTTTGCCCATGCCTGCATTATTCTGAAGGAGAGTAGTCATGTCTACATAGTACCATGGAGTCATCATATTGGAAGAGACCTGCCATCTAAGCATCCCAGCTTGGCCACCCAGCTGCTGCTTGCAAACCTCCAGAGAAGGAGGCTCTGCCACACCCTGAAGCAGCACATTCCACTGACACTCATCCATTGGTTCGTATCCTAGGCCCTTTCCACAAAGCTGAATAAAATCTCACATTATCTGCTTTGTACTGGAATATATGGCAGCGTGGACTCAGATAACTGGGTTCAAAGCAGATATCTGTGCATTTAATTTCTTTCTGCCTAGGTGTAGTACCTTACATTTCACTTACTGAGTTCTCAGGGATAAACTCCTCCAGTCATCTGTACTCTTCCTTATGGGAATGTTTTCCAAGGAGACAAAACCTTGCCTAGATCCAGGGCTCAAGGGAGTAGATATTGGAACCAAAAACAGCAGCAACAACAAAGCATGTTGTGTTGTTTTGCAATGTTGTAGTTTAATGTATTGTCAAAGGCTTTCATGGCCGGAATCACTTGGTTGTTGTAGGTTTTTTGGGCTGTATGGATATGTTGTAGAAGCATTCTCGCCTGACATTTCACCTGTATCTATGGCAGGCATCCTCACAGGTTGTGAGGTCTGTTGGAAACTAGGAAAATTGGGTTTATATATCTGTAGAAAGTCCAGGGTGGGAGAAAGAACTCTTGTGTGTTGGAGCTAGGTGTGAATGTCTCAATTGGCCACCTTGATTAGCATTTGATGGCCTGATAGTTTTTAGGTGAGGCTTGTTACTGCCTGGGGAAATCTTTTGTTGAGAGGTGATTAGCCATTCCTGATTGTTTCTTGTCTGGAGTTCCCCTGTGTTTGAGTGTTGTTCTTTATTTACTGTTTCAAATTTAGAGTTTTTTTTAATACTGGTAGCCAGATTTTGTTCATTTTCATGGTTTCCTCCTCAGAGGTAGTGAGGTCTGTTGGAACTAGGAAAAAGGGTTTATATATCTGTGGAATGACCAAGGTGGGACAAAGGACTAGGTGTGAATGTTTCAACTGACCACCTTCATTAGCATTTGATGGCCTGGCAGTGCCTGGGGCAATCTTTTGTTGAGAGGTGATTAGATGTCCTTGTTTGTTTCCTCTCTGTTGTTGTGCTGTTGTAATTTTAGAGTTTTTTAAATACTGGTAGCCAGATTTTGTTCATTTTCATGGTTTCCTCCTTTCTGTTGAAATTGTGCACATGCTTGTGGATTTCAATGGCTTCTCTGTGTAGTCTGACATGGTGGTTGTGAGAGTGGTCCAGCATTTCTGTGTTCTCAAATAATACGCTGTGCCCAGGTTGGTTCATTAGGTGCTCTGCTATGGTTGACTTCTCTGGTTGAAGTAGTCTGCAGGGCCTTTCATGTTCCTTCATTCATGTTTGGGCAATGCTGCTGTGTTAGAATCATAGAATCAAAGAGTTGGAAGAGACCTCATGGGCCATCCAGTCCAACCCCCTGCCAAGAAGCAGGAATATTGCATTCAAATCACCCCTGACAGATGGCCATCCAGCCTCTGTTTAAAAGCTTCCAAAGAAGGAGCCTTCACCACACTCCAGGGCAGAGAGTTCCACCACTGAACGGCTCTCACAGTCAGGAAGTTCTTCCTAATGAAGAACTTTGGTGGTCCCTATGTAGACTTGTCCACAGCTGCATGGTATACAGTAGACTCCTGAAGAGGTGAGAGGACCCCTCTTGTCCTTAGCTGAATGTAGCATTTGTTGGATTTTCTTGGTGGGTCTGTAGATAGTTTGTATGTTGTGTTTCTCATCAGCTTCCCTATGCAGTCAGTGGTTCCCTTGATGTATGGCAAGAACACTTTTCCTCTGGGTGGATCTTTGTCTTGACTCTCGTTGCCTGTTCTCAGTTTTGCATCTCTTCTGATATCTGAGGTGGAGTCTCAATTGGCCTGTAAAGCCCAGTTTAGGTGGTTCAGTTCATCTTGGAAGGGGTGCGGTTTGCAGATTCTTTTTGCACTGTCTGCAAAATCTTTAATGGTGCTTCTTTTTTTGACTTGGGTGATGGTTGGAGTTTTTATGTAGTTTGTTTTATTGTTCCAGTCTCAAGGAGTATTTGCAGGGAGGAGATGCTGGGAGATTGTGTTTGGTGCTGTGGAGCAGGCAGCTGTGGAGGAGGACACCGGAAATGGGAGCATTGTTGGAATACAGCTGTTAGCTCCTCACTGAAAATGGGGAATGAGCTTTAAAGGGATGGGGTTTTTTACAGGGTTTCATGGGGCTTAGAGTGGATGGGGAAGGATACGCCTGCTTTTTGGAATGACAAAGTCAGGGAAATAGTTTCCATATGTTAGTAAGGAGGTTTGTTATATAGATCAATTTAAGAAATGCATGCTCTGGGACCATTCATCCCATGGTAACTTAGAGCAGCAGTCCCATTT